GCTTCCATTTCTGTCCACCTCAGTGCCTGAGCACACTTCCTTTCGTATCCTCCGTCCACTCACTGACTGCTGTTGTGATGTCACGGCATTGTCACGAGCGATCTGCACCTGCGCCTGGAAAACAAACACAGAGTGGCATGTGTGAACAGGAACATATGTGTAAAAATACTGACTGAAAATAATCCCAAAAGCTAATCAGATTTTCACAAAGAGAATCCAATCAATCAAATGAGACAAAAATATATACTTTGTCATTTATTTATATGGAAAATGATCCAATATTACATATCAGTGAGTGGCAAAACTATGTGAATCTCTAGGATTAGCAGTTAATTTGAAGTCCATCTGTTCAGAGGTGTTTTTAAATCAATGGTATGACTATCAGGTGTCAGTGTGTGCCTGGTTTTATTTAAAGAACAGGGATCTATCAAAGTCTGATCATGTTTGTGGAAGTGAATCATGGCACGAACAAAGGAGATTTCTGAGGAACTAAAAAGAAAAAGAGTTGTTGTTGCTCATCAGACTGGAAAAGGTTACAAAACTATCTCTAAAGAGTTTGGACTCCACAAATCTACAGTCAGACAGATTGTGTACAAATGAAGGAAATTTAAGACCATTGTTACCCTGGCCCAGGAGTGGTCCACCAACAAAGATCACTCCAAAAGCAAGACGTGTAAAAGTCTGTGAGGTTGCAAAGGACCCCAGGTCTAAGTAAGTTCGTTCTAAGTAACTAAAGGCCTGTCTCACATTGGCTAATGTTAATGTTAATGAGTCCATCATCAGGAGAACACTGAATAACCATGGTGTCCATGGCAGAGTTGCAAGGAGAAAGCCACTGCTCTCCAAAAAGAACATTGCTGCCCGTCTGCAGTTTGCTAAAGATCATGTGGACAAGCCAGAGGAAAAATGTTTTGTGGATGGATGAAAACAAAATAGAATTTTTTGGTTTAAATGAGAAGCGTTATGTTTGGAGAAAGGAAAACACTGCATTCCAGCATAAGAACCTTATCCCATCTGTGAAACATGGTGGTGCTGGTATCATGGTTTGGGCCTGTTTTGCTGCATCTGGGCCAGGACGACTT